AATATGACACGCAGGTACAGATGTGAGTGACTCCCTACCCTACCCGCACACAGTCCAATTCTGTGTTAAATGTCTTAATATGACACGCAGGTACAAATGGCAATAGGTACCACGCCCATTGTGATTCGCGGCCGACTGTTGTCCGTGTTGACGAACCCCAATATCGTTACTATCCCTTCTTCGTAACCCTCAACCGATGCGATGGTTCGTGTTCTACTCACCCCGGAAATCAGGCTTGTAAACCCATCGAGGAAGAAGAAGTCAAGATAGAACTCTTCCATACGTCGAGGAATGAAGCCGCACAGGTGGTAATGACCAATCATACGAGGTGTAAGTGCAAGTGTGTGGCTTCATTCGATAGCTGTCATCTGGAGTTAGAATCGTGGGATCCTGATAACTGCCGCTGTATATGCAGATACCCGCATGGACCACCTCAAGATCTAGCTTGCAAACCAGGCTTCAGGTAAGTTTACCTTATTAGTATTTTCATATATTTTTAACCCAACACGCTAAATTTCAATTTGATCCGTGAGTTAGCTATAGAGCGTTTTCACTCACTTGAGAAGGCAGTGATATTGCTGTACCAAACAATAGAAACTTATACACAGTTTTTGCATAAAAATAGAGTTTAATTCCCCGAGGATAAAAAATGTATTGTTTTGAAACTCCAAAATGGCCGCTGTGACGTCACGTGAAAACGCTCTATATGTACCTTGACTTAGGCCCCGTCCGCACTATGCCGGATAAATTTGAATCCGAATTTTCACACCGAAACCGAAAAAATAGTTTTCCGTCCACACTAATACGGCTAGCCGGCGTTTTCAAATTGTTCCACTCTGGAGACCGTATTCAAAACAAATTGTTTTCGGTCAAGAATTGTTCCGGATTTGCCCGGACTAGTGTGGACTAGTGGGCCTTAGGCCAGCCCAGAGTTTGTTTTGCAACAGGGTTGGACAAAATGGAGTCGGAATTTTCAGTTACCTTTCACTTTCAAGCGAAAGGTGAAAAACCGGAAAGAAAACCCGAGGAAAAAGCCCTCGAAATAAAGGGAGAGACCCTACTACTTTCCTAGCTCATAAACAAAATTCATCATATATTAATTTTGTAATGCACTAAAATTTCAGATGGGTTCGCGATATATGTCGATGTCGGTGTAACAAGGCACCAGAGGTTTGTCCGCCAAACAAGGTAATAGTTGTTTTATGTCAGTGTTTTATTGTTTGTTTCTCCTCTGTTATCATTATTTTCTTGAATTGCATCGCCCATATGGCAGTTCATGCTTGGTATGCAACATGCAACATGAAAAAAGAACCTTTGCCAACCTTTTTTGTTTTGAAATTCTATATTGTTTTACGTCGGGATAACTGAAAAGAGCCCTTCTGCTGGCTACTAAAATGCTTTCTCCGTTAATCCTATAGATGGGATAGATGGCAGGAACTCCTTTCGCGCCAAAACGCGCGCGCTTGGTTGTCTATCAATTTGTTTTCCTTCTTTTTTTTTTTTTTTTTTCTTTCTTTAGTTATCTTTTTGGTACAGTTATGCTTTTTATCTGATCGCTCAATAGTTTTCTTCCGTTGTATATAATTACAGGTTTGGAGCGAAGAATCATGCGGTTGTGTTTGCACCAAAAGAATTACCAAGAGATGCGAAAGGAAAGGGAAAGTACTTGATCCAGAAAAATGCGAGTGTGTTGATATACAAGCCTTATTACGACGAGACACTACAGAAGGTAACACCACTCTGTTCGACTTCTGAGTCTCTTTCTCCGCCTTTTTATACCACGTATCATTTTCTTTGAAATAACTTTCTTTCGTATTAAATTTTTTAAATCGGTTTGTCTTCACAGGATGTTGATAAATATTAATATTCTGACTTTTCTCGTAACAAAAACTTGAAAATACGAGTTGCGTTTGCATGTGTTACCAGCACATAAACATATATGTCATATGCCCAAAATTGTTTTCGAGAGAAATCGTGGCTCCGTAAATTACAATTTGACCATCAAATGAGGGTCACATGCAGGTTTGTTAGCCACTGACATCTAGTGATATTCTCGTAAAACAAGTGCGCTTTTTGTTTCCTTTTTCTCATCGCCAAATGACTTGGGGCCAGAGAATAGTTATTCTTTCTCCAGCGATTGCTGTTTTGACGGGAAGTCGCTCGTCACCTAGAGCAAAATAGAATCTCCGGAGCCCGGGATAACTCAAACCAAATTCTTTACCAATTCTTTAAAATGTTTTTACTCCATGCAGACAAGTCAAAGTCGCGCTTGTTTATCACCTTACTTGTTGGTCAAGGGTTCCTTCTCGTCGTCATCATATGCGTTCTTATACACTACATTCGAAAATCCAAAAGAAAGACGCCACCGCCCGACCATGAAGAAGAAAACACTCCAAATCCAACTCAATCGCCTGCAGATTCAGGGAACATCAGCATTAATTCCAGTCAGGACAGTAAGTAACTTTTTTGTAATGTTACTGCGTTTAAAATTATTGAGTTTTATGATTAAAGATAAAAGAGAGAGCTCATCATTTTGGGATGGTTTATGAGGCTGTTTAACAAATAAAGCGCACAGCTATTTCCGTGTTCCGTTCAGTAATAAAGCACGCAGTAAGTAACGTAAGTGCGAAAGAAGCGTTAGGAGAAGCACGAGCCGTAGTCGTACGGCGCTTCCTATGTGTTTTGCTGAATGGATCACGGAAAAAGCTGTTTTATTATATAATTACCAATGAAATATCTATTTTTCTCCTTTTCGGAAAATTGATATCTTCACACGTGAAAATAACATGTTATTTTCACGTGTGAAAATAACACCATTGCGATGGCTATTCAAAAATACACGGAAAGAATTGCCTGAAAAAGCCAAAACATACTTCATTGATAATTCTATAATAAACAGAATATTACATGGGCGCTTGGAGATACGCAATTTATCTTCTCGCGTTGAAAATCTCTCACTCGTTCGCTGCGCTCACTCGTGAGAGATCTTTTCAACACTCGAAGATAAATTTCGTATCTCCGCGCGCCCATGTAATATCCTCTATTTATTCATTTTATTATATAGCTACTAATTTTTCTTTTCGGTAATGAATTTATTTACGCAAAAAGAAAGACGTTCGCGCTGTGTCAGCGTCAGCACTGTGCTCCGTTCAATAATAAAGCACAATTTTCGACCAATCAGCGCGCGCGTACTATCCTAACTATATAATAAATGTGAATAAAAAGCTCAATTTTGGTACTGCGTAATATCGTATTTATGCAGTTCGTGAGTGCATGGGTCCATGCTAACATCGGATAATGAATGACATATATTTCTAGAATTTAGCCCGTTTTAAGATATTTTTCCCAACCAGTAAGAAATAAGATGATACTGGTTGGGGAAAAAATCTTAAAACGGGCTAAATTCGAAAAATAACCACACAGAGCGAAAGAAGTGCTATTTCTCAATGATCGGGTAAAATTTCGAGGCTTTATTTCACGTTTCAAGGATTTTATTCATATTTTAGATGAATCCCCATACATTTCCTTATAACATGACACCACAGAAACCAAGCTTGGGCTACCTGTGGATTGTAAAGTTGTTCTCTCCCTTGCCACAAGGGTTTTATTTCGGGTTTCCCAGTTTTCCTCCTTCCATAAAAGCCAACTTGTGAGTTGAAAGCTGTACACATGTAATATTGAATGTAGTGGTAGTGTTTGTTTAGCCCCCTTCAAGGGAAAGCCTGACAAACGTTAGCGAGGGTTGAATTAAGAACATTATTACGAATTTTTTTTCAGCATGTGAACATGGTTTGACTTCAAACGAGAATTTTAACTCTAGCAACGGCTCCGTAAACCTTTGGAATGGTATTCTGCTATCAAAAGAAACTGTTATTGACTAGCATTCCACTTTCTCTTATAGTATTAAGACTACTGTAAATATTTAACTATTATTTTAGAGAAATGCGCCTATCTAGGAATCTAGAGTGACTTAGCTGTAGTGTGCTCGCCTCTCACGGCGAGGCTCGTTTCCTAGACTCGACATCACATGTGAGTAAAGTTGCTTGGGTATCTATCTTGATTCGAGGGTTTTTCTCCGGGTTATCTAGTTTTCCTCCCTCCACAAAACTCAGAAAGCAAAATTTTAATTTGTTCTGCCATGCCCTGACTTAGATCAGCCCAGACGTTGTTTCAGGGTATCGATAAAATTTGGACATCATTACGGATCATTCCCCACTAACCAAAAGTTAAACAACCCTCTCTCCTCTCCCCCAAACATGTGACGTAACAACTAAATTGCCAATAGAAATGCGGTTAATATGCACTTGGATACGCTCTTGTACAAAGTTAACGAAACTATGATTTTTCAGTGTACGTAGATGGAAATCAAAGCATGATCACTAATGCGCATATTTAAAGTACTCTAAAAATTTAACATAAATATGAGAAAAGATAAGACAAAAAGTTGTGTAATACAGTTTGATATTTGGTGTTACTTACCTTTCATACGATAGGAAAAGTATTTCAAATTTTGTTGATAAGGTCAAACTGTCTGCGCGCGCATGATATCTTTGGCGAGTGTTTCCTCTCGAAACGCGCGCGCCGTGTAATAATGGCAATACATTATATGGGACCATATAGCATGGGTGCGGGCGCAGCCTGTATGGGTGTCCTCAAAATTTAACAATATTTTAACTATTTTTTGTCATATGATAAACAATTTCTGACGCGAAAATTTCAAAATTCTAACGATCGTTAGAGTATCAGTTGTATCGAGCAAGGTTTGGTGAACTAACCTTTATATATTTTTATACTATACGTAATAATTTATTATATAAGACACCAATCTCCGCAAGCAAAATTCATAGGCGTGGCAGACCTTGCTGCACATTCCCACTACTGTTGTTGCTCAGAGATTCACGATGATATAATACTATTGTATGGCCTAGGGAGGGTTGCTTAGTCCTTAATCTTATTATGACGCCACACAAAGGGGCTTTCATTTTTTTAGCTAATTATGGGGGGGGGGGGGGGGGGGGGGGGGGATCGGCAAAATTGTAGAGGGAGGGGGTTATGCCATTTTGAGTGGTAAAGTGGTAAGAGGGGGTTATCACATATTGAGGGGGATTGAGAACTATTACAGGATGATGAAAGGGGGGTTATGCAATTGTTGCCTCTACCAGCCAGCTCTAATCAATCCAGGTTGGATTACGTTTTCCATGTGATTTTGCCACCCCCTCCCCCTATGTGCTAACAAATGAAAGCCCCTAAGCCATTTTTGGTCTTACTTTTTGACAGCACTCCCCTAGAGAAAGTAAGCACCTTTGGTGTTAAAGAGTAACAGAAAAATAAGTAGGAAAAGATGATTCTATTTTTAATTCCAAATACTATAAAAAAACATGCGCAACAGGTTTGTCCATCCTCTTCACTAAGTAGAGCTTAGTTTTAGGGTTTTTTCATGTTCAATGGCAATATTAATTATATTTTTTGTTATATTTTTACTAGTTATTTATTAACATAACACAGTTAGAGTGGTTTTAATAAACCTGTGAAATACACTTACGCATATTTAGCACTACTTCACTCTAGTTTTTGTTTTCTGCTGTGTTTTTATTACACCTTGTTTCACAGGTTAATGAATACTGCTCTAACTTGTTGATAGGTTCCACATGTCATGCCATTTTTTCTGTGAAAAGAAATACAATACTCCACAAGGTTATAGCCTTTCATAATGTACCCTGCATAAGCTGGGGACGTAGTCAACAATAGGTATTTAAACATTTTTTTAGGATGTGTGTAAATGATTGGTGTTATTTAACATGAATTAAGATTTATGGTTACAGCAAATAAACGTTAAAAGTTTCCCAACGAAAGAGAGAAAACGAAAATTTGAATGGAAAAAAATGAATATTGCATCACTGCACTGAATGTTTTGCATTCGATGCATACCACTGTCTTTCATGGCCAGACCCTCGAACATTTGCACCTTTAATAGTCGACTATTCACAGAAACTATTAGAGTGCACGCACTAGAGTGACCACAGTAAATCCGTGGAACTTTAGTAATACTAAATAGCACAATTTCATGCAAATTCCATTGTTTTCTATTGTTTAACTAGCACTATTTTGTACTATTTAGTAATTAGTGTTTCACAGATTAACTGTGGTCACTCTTAACCCGTGAATAATATTCAGTACTAATTAGTAGTAATTTATACAGAATCCTTTGTTTCCTATTGTTCGATTATCACTATTTAGTTCTTAAAAATTAGTATTTGTTTCATGGGCTTAGTGCGAGCACTCTAAGAGTCTGTTGGATTATGATACATTGGCATTGTTCAAGCTGCACATTTAGTCGACTTTTGCAAATGATTTACTCTAAAGTGAGGCTAAACCTGTGCATATGAGTCTTTATTACACTTTTAAGGTCAATATCAGTGTGATAAAGCAGTGAATAAAAACCATATCAGTGAAGTGATACGATATCACTTAACAGTTAACTGGAAATGTTGCCATTTTATTGACTCTAAATGTGTAATAAACAAATTGCTACATGCTAAGAGCCTGATATCCTTTTAATTCACTCGTTTTAAATATGATATCACTCACTCACCGACTCGCTCATTCGCGATATCATATGGAAACTCGTGAATAAAAACGATATGAAGCTCAACATGTGGTAATCTCTATTTAGTCTTACTACTCTTCCCAGTAGACCGAGGTAGTTGTGATTTTTTAATCACCTTCGTAGCGTCCGTTATGTTATCCGCAAGTACATTTCAAATCGACCACGTGATGCCAATGCTGTACCACGAGGACAAGTTTTTTACACCACGTGATCAAAATTCAGTCAAGTTTTAATCACGTGGTGTAAAAAACTTGTCCTCGTGGTACAGCATTGGCATCACGTGGTCGATTTGAAATGCACTTGCGGATAACATAACGGACGCTATGAAAAGGCGATTAAAAAATCACAACTACAGTACCTCGGTCTACTGGGAAGAGTAGTAACACAGCGGTGTTACCAAATGAGAAAAGGGACTATTCCCACTCAAGAAATAAACCTTCTGAAAATTGAAATTTATTATCTTGCTTGTGTATGTTTTTCATTGCAACTTGGGTACTTTTCCTTTGTATTAATTTTCTATAGTGCAGTGTAAATATTTATAGTATAAGTAATAAAAAAATGATTGATTGATTGGATTATTCATTAGGTCTATAGCAAACTTTGCTTAGTTTGTCTGTTATTACATGTATTTGTAAGCTAAAAAAAATGCTTTTATGTGAAAGGCAAGACAGGTAGTTCAATGTGAATACTCCAAACAAAAAAAATGGACACACTCTTTCTAAATACTTGAACAATTTAATATCAATTAAATACATTTTGATACATAATGGATAACTATAACTAATTATTAATAACTAGAACTATTATTTACAAATGTGAATAAACATTCAAATCATTTATGCTGTGTTTACTATAAAATTTGAAAAACTCTTTCCAATTAGCTAATGTGTGTTCCTCCTATCATGAACGGCCAATCAAAAGTCAGTTCTGTGGTTGGACTACCACTACCAGAATGCTTAGCAACTTGTCATTCTTATTTGAGGTTTTATTTCCTCATGTAAGTCAATAAATAAACCTTTTATGAAATCCTGTTCATCAAACAATCTGGTCTAGCTTTTGTACATAAACTCAATGTCTGTCACGCCTTAGACCAAAATGCGCCACATTTATATCAATCAAAAAAGGCCAGCTCATATGCTATTGAATAAAATGCTCTTTAAAAGGATTCTGGTAGTGGTGCAGATATTATGCTATCATGCAAATATCATATCCTATGCAAAATCTTAATCTTGGTATTTACTGTAGGATAGCRTTTCCCATCCCTCCCCTCCCCCACCTATTTCAAAAATATGCTTAAAGTCTTTGAATGGTCCTTGAGATGCTTCAGATGATGATGTACAAAAATCCACAGGTCTAAAAACAAAGGCAACATGATAATAAATAGATATGAACAATAAGGGTTTACTCTTATCAAAACTATAGTCGATCCCTTAGGGACGATGGCAGGGCTCAAAATAGCATCCTGCCAATGGCCAAATGACAGGCCCAATTTCAAGTTATGCAGGTGAAAATAACGATACGCTGCCAAATGAATAATAAGATCGCTTGCAAAATTTACTGGAATGACCACCTTTTAGCATGCTCATTACTATGGCAGGCTGCAATTGTTTTTCTATTTCAAGCCCTGGATGGATCACTATTTAAAGTGGGGTAAGGATAATCTCTGTTTTTGTTCATAATGGGACTCAAACTAAGAGAGAATGATGGGGTCATTCTCATAAAAAGTGATGAAGCTAAAGCCCCCCAGCTCTGCTGTCCCTCTTCCTAACTACAACAGAAGATAAAGTTTGAAGACTCTTACCTTGCATTGTGTTATCAAATTACTAGCTCCAAGTCCTATAGCATCAGACACGACAAACTCTGGTTCGGTAGAACAACCTTCATCCCTGAGAAAAAGTGAACAAAATGTTATCAAAGTATACAAAATTACATGTTACTGGCATTGGAAATATAGCTTTTTAGCTTGGACATTTTCCCCATTTCAGGCCACATATCCTTCCATATAGACTATAATTTCTTTGTTTAACAGCTGGGCACAATAGACACATGAATATGGGTACAAATCTAACTAATCTCATTCTCAATAGAGCTCGAGTCTTGATCTGAAATGAGAAAACTTTTCACAATGCTTTGATTTAAACTACTAACCTTGTTTACGTACCTGTGAGTAGAGATGGACTCTTCAATCTGACTTTTGACATACGAAAGGTCAAGCGCATCATACTTTTTAAAACACAAAAATATGTCATTAGCATATTGAAGATGGTAAGCTGCGTGGCCACCTAAATTTGTAAAACTGGGTGGTGGTGTAGGGGAAGAGGGGCAAGAAAGATTATATTGCTCCATGGTAACACTAAAGAATAGCCATTCCAAAACTGAGGGAAAAACTGGTTTGAGTTGGCATGTTGACTTTTTAAGGGGAGAAAATAGATGACATTTTGGAGATATGTTCCCTAAAACAGTCCTACAATGCACTACAATGCTAACTCGCCCAGGTTTTCCCCAACCTCAGAAAAGGCTAATATGTGAGTCATACTATACCTCTGTATCAATCCGCATCCCACATTGACAAAATATCACTTGTTTGTTTTGATGTAAAGGGTTTCTGGATGGAATAAAATATTTGTTAGTAAAGTCATATTTAAAGCAAATCATTCAATTTGCTAGCAGCTAGAGTAATTTTACTTGCCCCAAGAAAAAAAAAAAGATCTAACTATTGCACTAGTCACTTGGTCACTAATTATGAAACTTCATTTCATGGGCCAAATAAAATCTTTCTCATATTGACGCCACTTCTTACCTCTTACATACAGGGCATAACACATCATCTGTTGATAGTTTATCAATGGCTGCACATAATGATTCTTCTTCAAATCTCAAGTTTTCATTATACTCTCTTAAAATCATTTTCTCTGAAATCCATTAAAAAATTAGCAAAATTAAAATATCTAAAATTATCAAACTTGACAACTATTTTACTTGTATTTCTAGTGGTATAACATCACATTTTTATGATGTGGTTGAGGCAATGACCTTTCAAAATAGTGCAAAATAATTAGCCAATCAATGTTAAATCTGACTACATACCAACCGGGGGGGGGGTACTCCCATATATGGACTATACAGGGTTGATCCGCTGAACAGGGTATGGTTTTTCGAGCTTCTTGTCATAGACAGGGTATGCAATTTCACTCAAGTTCTTCCTGAGTTTCCTGTCATATTCAGGGTTTCTACTTTCGTATTGACCGAAACTGGTTATTATGGTCGTCAAAAAAAAACAACAATACATGAGCTGATTAATAATTGAAACAGGAACTCAATTATGTATTTTGTCATAAACAGGGTCCCCAAATTAGAGAGTTTTTTGTCATAAACAGGGTACCCCTTTTCGAATCCCAGCGGAACACCCCTACCCAAATTCTGGCAGAGTACCCACCTGGGCATACCAACCACCTGCAATGATCACTTTGTCACTAATAATAAATAATTCAGCTTTTTAAAATCTTTCTTAAATAGGGTTACATTCCAAAGAAATACCAATTTTGACACAAGAGACAAAACCTTTATGAATAATTCCAGATTGTTTGGTTTTATTATCCACATACAGCTATGTACTCCTACCTTCTTCAACCAATTCTTTTTGTATTTCCTCCATCATACTTATTATTTCATTTAAATCTGATTCTTTTTCTGCATCTAATTTCATCTGAATGAGATCAAACCATCAATAGACCATATTAATAATATATATGAGAGATACTAATAAAAATAATAATAATAAAAGAGTGCTTTCATGAAAATTGCAGGCACAGAGAAAGCATTTTTGGGCAGCGTTCATAAGAAACCTTTGGAAACCATAGAGTTACATGTGATTTCTAAAACCCTGGAAGAAAAGATTTTGTCTGATTTTGCATATTAGAATAACACTCACAGCGGTTCTGAACAATTAACTCTTACCCATGCTAAATGTTTGGTTGATCTATGTACTGTATGTATCATCAGAAAGTGTGGCCAAGGGAACTAGAGGAATGCATATCTAGACTAACATTTATAGCTGTTCCAAATAGACTCACCCCTGGAAAAGGTTGACACGATTCTTTAGTTGGCTTCCATGATGGTAAATTACTGTTTTCCCCAGCAATTTGAGACCATTCTTCATTCATAACTCTTTCTACTTCAGAGCTTATGTTCACTGGGTCACTAGTGCTGACGTCCATCTGTCGGAATCTTTCCACAAACCTCTGTCTTCCATTGCGAAGTCTTTCCATACACCGCTATGGAAATAGAAAACTTATTGACTCTTCATATACAAAGTTCAATTATAAATAGATGTGTCATTGAATTTATCATATAGCTTGCTCGTGGACAACACCACAAGGTAGGTATTGGAGCATATCAATTAGGGCTGTCTTTGCATAATATAGACGCGGCATTGCAGCAATTGCCAGAATGATTTGTAGGACAATAACTATGAATTCATATTCTCGGAAGAGCAAACCTATTTTGTTGCATTTAGGGTGATAAAGTAAAACATGACACAGACATTCTTATCAATGATTTTGTGACACATGATTTTACCGTTTATGATTTTACTGTTTTTATTTTTCGTGAAACAAGATTTGATTATCTACATTTTCCTTGAAACGTGAAATGACAATTTTTGTTATTTTGTAAAATGTGATTTGACCATTTTATTTTCTGTGAATCATGATTAATGCTGCCCTCCCCCCTCCCACTTTTCTGCCCCGCGTATTGGGAATATGCTGTGAAACCAGTTTTGTCGCAATGGCATATCCTGAACATTCTAGGAAGAATACATACATGCGTGTACATGTAAGAGAACTACAACCTAAAACCATTGTACAAAGCACATTACATGATACGAAGCAATTTAAAGTAGGGCTAAACTGCAGAATACCCTTGCACTACACCTGTGTAGTTGGTGGCTACAACTACTGTACGTGTAGCTGCATAGCCACTGAGTGAATATCGTTATTAAAGCGATATAACAGCACATGACTATTTGATGCAAAGAACCTATTACTTTGATTGACAAAAGCTAAAACATATTCTTCAAAACTACTAAAAGTCTCACAGAATCACTAAAAATGCATTACCTTTTTATAAGTATCCTTCCAAGGTGGCGTCGTGAATTTATACTGGCTACGATGGCGCGCAAAGGGATCTAAATCTCTTGAAGAACTTGACATGGTGGAAGACATTTTGGATTTTGTCTTCTTCCCGCGAAATAATCCAAGGAGCGTTTTTATTGGACAATTCGAGCCAATCAAATGTGTTGAAAGAGCAATCATGACAATGATGTAATGTCCCCACGGTGCGCAAGGTGGTACTGGGTAATATAAACCAAAACAACATGGCGGCTGCTTCGCTGCAGTCGATGAAGAATTTCTGGAAAGAATTCAACCTTCCAGAACTACAGGTAATAATTATATTAAAAACCCTTTATTTTATACATAGCCAGTTTATTTTGTACAACAGGTGCTAAACATTCTGTGATTATTATTCGATTTTATTGATATTTTACGAGTATAAACGTGAACGTCAACATTGCATTTTTGTAGAAAACTTTGGACACGACAGCAACAGAGCTCGCAGACCGTCAAGATGAATCCGAAACATCAAGAAAAAAACTGGTAGAACTCAGTCGTGATTTTAAAAAGAATACTCCAGAGGTAACTTTTAAGTTTTAGCACTAAATAAAGTAAGGTTTTGGTCATGTCTTTGCTTGCTTATGGTGACGTGGAACGACAAATTTAATCATGTCCTACGAGAAGATGGAGTTGACACTGTTAACTTATTTATGGAACAAACACAGTTTGTTTATTGTTGCTTCTTTTCTGAATTGTTTAGGAATTAAGGAAAAAAGTGGCACCATTACTAAAGAGCTTTCAAGCAGAGGTTAGTAATAAATAGGGTTGTCTAAATAACAAAATGTAATTATTTATTATAATATCATTATTAGCTTAAATAGCTATTAAAAGCTAAGAGTATATACTGTATTTAGATATTGATTATGCTGAATGGATGATGTTGTTGATATTGCATGATGTTAGATGTCTTAAACTATAAATGTTTTCATTGGTACATGCTGATCGAGACAACAGTCGCGACAGGGAAATCAGGAAGTAGACTACTGTTAATCAAATAGACCCCATTGCAGGATATTCCCAATGCAGCCCAATTCAGAGGACAAAACAGTAGAATCTTACTCTCATGAGAACTGAAATTAATTGTTTTGTCCTCGAGTTAAACAGCTCTAAGAATTGTCGAAAGCGGACTATAAACTGTTTACTACCATTATCGTTGAAGTGTGACCAGCCAAGTTTGGTGTCTTGTTCAGACTAATGCTTCAATGACTGTCAATCAAGGAAAAGTTCTGCAATATGAAAAAAGTCTTAAGGGAGATTTAAGAATTAAAGATTTCAGAGAGTTAATTATTTAACAGGCTAAAATCTCCCTTAGAATATTGTTAATTTTTTAAATATTTCAGTTCTTTGATTGATTGACAGTTGATGAAATGCTAGTCAGCGAATGAGACATCAAATTTTGCTGGTCGCACTTCAACAATAATGGGTATAATATACGATGTAAAACTCAAATTAGGTAGAAGATTGTTATTGTTTTACACTTTCACTCAGATTGATGCTTTATCCAAGAGAAGTAAGGCCTCAGAGGCTGCATTTCTTACAATCTACAAAAAACTTGTTGATGTTCCAGGTAAAATACATACAATGGCAAGTTAATATTGGAAATTATTAAAGTTCTGAAAAACCTTTTAAAAAATTTCAATTTTTTGTGCGTCAAAAATGAAACTTATGAAAAATTAATGGAAATGAAAACCTACTAGTCAGAAGGAAACTACAGATTTGTCCACCTTCTTCCCACTTCCTCCCTCCCACCCCCTTCCCCAACTTTCCCCCCACCCCCATACCACTTCACTCTTCCAACCTATCCCTCGTCACTGCTCTGCAGTTTTATTTGATAAGTAATGAATATTTGCCATGATAGTAATTTTCTTTTTTGTTAGATCCATTACCTGCTTTAGAACAAGCTCAAATTCACCAGCAAAAGGCTTCAAAAATCCAGGTAAATATTTACAAATTTTTTGGCATTTTTCTCAGTTCGAGATCTGTATTTCATTATTAATTATGGGCTCTTCTCAAAAGTATCATGGATGTAAGGCTAACATGGAAATACAAAAGAAGTGCCACATATTCCAACAAGAAAACCATGATTTCTTTTGCATTTCCATGTTAGCATCAAATCCATAATATTTTTGAGAAGGGCCTGTCGTGGATATTGAAATCAGCTCATTGAAATATTGGAATATTCTTTGTTGTGGTTTGCATAGGACTACGAAATAGAAAACAAGAAACTTAGAGAAACTTTGGATGAGTACAATACAGAATTTGCTGAAGTCAAAAATCAAGGTAAAGTATATGGTAATGTGTGATAGAATTCCCCACTTGAATATAGAATTGTTAGCTTCACAAAGTGAAAGTGAGGTAATTGAGAACCACTATATACCATCTTTATCATTAACATCATAATATTACATGTATTATTCACTTTTATCTCCATAATATTACGATCATCATTCTGAAAACAGCATAACTACCATCATCATCATTGTTGTTGTCATCATCATCATCATCACTATAAAGTACATGTAATCCTTTTGTAATTATGGCAGAGGTTACAATTAACAAGTTGAAAGAGAAGATCAAGGAATATGAAGAAAAGATAGAAGAAAGAGTGCAGGTAAGGTCATGCTGCTTTAGTTTTGATGATGAATGATCAGCTAACTTGTATAAGCTTGCAGATGATCATTTGCTTAATTAATTTCTCAATGTTAGCTGGTCTAAACCTGCYGCTAAAATAGCTAGTGCACTATTTTCATACAGCTATTTCAAAAAAGATCAGTGAAGCTTTTGTTGCGTGTTTAATACTAAGCCTGGAATATATTGTGAATCATATGTAAATAATGTCAGAAAAGAAGAAAAAATGCTGGAAAAACGTGCAGACAAAGTTTGAAAAAATTTCCAGTATTTATTGCCCATAGTTCATTTTGGGCTTATCCCAGTATGCAACACGAAACATACGACAAAATGCTCACCAGTACCTTTTTTGATATTATAGCTGTGTGCCATTTTTTATGCTATTTTTTATCAATACATTATGATTTTTTATAACTCATTTCATAGTCTAAAGTCAAAGAGAGAGAAAAAGAATTGCAGAAAGAATTTGCAGAAAAAGAAAAACAGCTTAGGGAAACACAGGTTTCTGTGGCACGTAAACTTGGTGTTGCAGAACACAAGACAGCAACACTACAAGCTGGTGAGTAGTATTTGATATTCTATTCTTATGCTATGCTCTGCTCTGCTAAGCTATCCTATCCTATCTCATTTTCAACAACTCTTTTACTCCCATCCCACCCCATCTTATCCCATGCCATCTTATCCCATCCCATCTTATATCCCACCCATCTTATCCCACTCCATCTTATCCCACCCCATCTTATCCCACCCCATCTTATCCCACCCCATCTTACCCCATCTAATTTTATCCAATCCCATTTTATCCCTTCCCACCTTATCCCATCCTATCTCATCCCATGCCATCTTATCATCTACCATCCTATCCTATCCTATACCACCCCATCTTATCCCATTCTATCCCATCCCATGCCATCTTATCCCATCATCTACCATCCTATCCTATCATTTACCATTGGTCTCACCATGATACATTTAATTCTCATTTAGCCTTGGATAACACCCAGACAGAGCTGTTTGATGTCAAAACCAAATATGATGAAGTGACTGCTGCAAGGTATACATATTTATCAAAATTGTATATTAAGTTCCTCATACAGGGCAGATCTGGGAGGGGTTGGGGGCTACCAAGATCAAATATCTAGTAGAGAAATAATGAACCCCATACAGTACAGGTGTTTTTTTAGATTTTTTGTCTCTTTTTTAGAGGGAGGGGGTTTACCAAACTACAGTCCTTTTCTGTCATACAAAAATTGCTTAATAAAATTAATGTCAATGCAGTATTCTTACTTGTCTCTTCTAAAATATTTAATCATATTTGAATCTAATAATTTTCTTTTTCTTTTGAATTTCTTAGATCCTCAGAAATTGAAATTTTAGAGTCAGATTTGGACAGAGCTCAACAGGTACAGTATAATGCAATTAGACCTCAGGTCTCAGGTGCCAATCTTTTAACACCCGGTACATGACTTGAAAAAGGCAGAATGCGTGCTTCTTCACTAATGTTTTGATCATTTTTATGTATTTGGTTTGTCTGTTTGAAGAATTTAAATTGGCCTTAACAAATGGCATCAATAGACCATTTTTGAGTTCCAAATACTGCTTTGTTCCTTGATTGCAGACACGATTACTTGTTTAGCTTTGAATCAGTGTCTAAATATTCACAAATACCAACGGCAACGGTAAAGTAAAGAATGTACAACTTCAACAATAAAACACTTTGAAATTCCACAGCCCTTCACTGGAACACATAATTACTGTGCACAACATCGAGACTAAACCTGAGCAACAGAGAAACTAGAGCGTTTAGCTATAATTTTTCGTAAAAGATTTTTGAAGATAAATGTTAAATATTGTTTGTCTGTAAGTGTTGGATTATCAGTTTGTTTATCTGTTGATTATTTGTTTGTTTGTTTATTTGGCTACTGGTTTTTGCTAACTTGTTTTATGGTTTCCTGCTTTTTGTTTTGTTTGTTTGTTTTTCCTCTTTGATTTAGGGATATATTTTTTGATCGACAAAAATTGCATAACAAGACAGCCTTGTGATAATAAGTTTCTTTTTTCTTCTTTTCAGAGAGCACTATCTGCTGAGAGAGAACTACAATCCGTTAAAGAAGACCTATTGGACAGGATACAAGTACTATCTCAGGTAAATATATTGTCACAATATTATTTTACTTTTTCTGATATCGACCAAAAATTTTATTTGTCATTGATAGTTTAATAAATGTTTGTTATTTTTCAGGATACAAGCGATCACAAGAATACAAATGTGGTATGTTATCCTTATCAAATAAATTGAATCTATAAATCAGACATCTTGCCAACAATCTTACATAATCTCTTCACCATCATAAATACTTTGAAAGCAATGGACCTTCAGCATTACAAATTTTCCACAAGGCATTTAAGGTATTTCCTGAGAAAAGAGAATTATTTGATTTCAAGATGTGGTGATCATGTACTGTCAAAAGTATCTTGGACAGCATGAAAGTGGAGCAAAAGAGTCCTAAAGTGTTACCTGAATGGGACAAAAGTATATATTTTGGTTTTAACAATTTTCTATTTCCACTTTTGATAGACAAATAATTGAATATATATAAATTTCCTTAATAACAAATCACTCTGTAAATCACCCTGTAAAACAAGAAAGTAAACTAACAAAAGTGAGTGTTACTATTGACATTAATTGATAAGTGGATTAATCTTAATTTACATGTATCTTCTGGAAAACTTCTTTAGGATGCAGCAATTGATGCCATATCCAGATCAACACTTGAACATGAGCTAACAGCCAAAGAGAGACAGGTCAGGATAAATTGAACTTAAACATGATTATGTAMTGTATGTCATTCTGAGTGGATCAACCTCTTGGAAGTGTCACTATCAGTGAAAGTATGATAAAGGAATGTTCAATGCTTAGCATGCATGTGCAAGGTTGCTGAAGGTGTACATGTAGCATTGCATTCATAACATAACCACATCTACTGAACGTACTGTAATAAGCTGTTTGTTTCATGCAGATCAACTTATATTTTCTCCTCAACTTATGCGCAGCATGTGTGCAGAAAATGAGCTGAAATTATTCAAAATTTCCTTCAACATATAAATCGAAAATTTATGAGAACAACAATGTTCTAAAAAAGGATGTTTCAAGATTGAGAATGATTTTGGATGTCAGTGTGCCAGTGCGCACAATCACAATATATGTTTGTGCTAATCTTGTACTTCATGATGCCGACATCAGTCGCCCGACTATCAGCGGTGTGTTGGCTGAGTGTAGGCTGACTATTGGCTCTGTGTTGACCATGTATTGTCCAACCATTGGCCATATGTTGAGGATATTTTGGTTGCTATATATTATATCCAGCCAATTAGCCAATCATGGCCATGAAAACAAAACCTAAAGCAACAATTTGTTACTGTTCTTGTTATGGCATCCCTCTATCAACTGTAAGTTATAGAACAGCATAACAGCATTTTGTCAATGACTTATAAGAAAATCTTGTATGTTATTCCAGATCTCACAACTAGTGAGTGATGTTCAACACTTGCAGGCAACAATAACAAGATTAAAAGATGGCAATGCACTTGAGGTACATGTTCATTATTGTCTTAGGGGAAATGGTCACATTTCCTATTAGTGTAAATGACAAATAGCCCATTGAACCAAATGTTGTTTTAGCCATAAGTACATTGTAATTAATTGCCAAGCATTTGGGCATGCATTAGAACCCATCTAAATGACTTAGCTGGCATGCGATTTGAAGCATTTAGTTTAGAATAATGTAAGCAACTATTCTTTCGTTTTTAGGTTAACAGACTTGAAGAACAAATCTCAGCCAAGACATCTTCCTTACAGGCTCTAGTAAGCACTTTTGTTTCCGCTTAATCCTTTTACTACTAGAGGCTAAAAGGGTCCAACACCGGCTCTTCCTGGAACATAATTAGGGTGTTTTTTAGTTCTCAATATCAAAATGAAAAAACATATGCTCAGTAGATATTGAGGTCTTATAACACACATCAAAGCAGTTGATAGAATCTGACTGGTTGATGATCCAAAATGCAATAGCCCACAATCTTTCAACACATAGAAATGTATGGATGGGGATGGGTAATTGAAAAGCAAAAATGTCTTTACACTGGCCACTTTTGGCTGCTGTAGGAAAAATGTCACATTTCCAGTTGGCCTCTTTTGGCCGCTCTAGCACGGAAAGAGTTAATTAAAAAACATGATTTTTTTTCATTAACATAATATTTGGATCATTGGAAGAAATGCAATGTTAGTAGAATGGAGTTTATGTTAAATGTTAAAGTTGGAAGGCTGTCCTCCCTCCCCCCCCCCTCCCCCGCAAGAAAACTCTATTTTTGGTCAAATATCCAAAGGTGTAAGCCTCAGCTCCATTGCCTAGTATGTGGGTGTATTGAGGTGTTTTTTTTTCAATGTCCTCCTCTGCTATTGTCTTTTCATTTCATATTTCATGTTGTCCACAGGAACAGAGACTCTCCCATCAGGAAGATTATGAAGAAGTCAAAAGAGAACTAAGGTTTGCAGTGAATTTGACCGTTAATTAAAGTTCTACTGCTGATTGGCAATCATTCCAAAGAGAATGAAATAACAAAAGACACAGTGGGCATTTTGGATGATGTACCCAAAAATGACTCATGACAAGTATTGTATTAAAATCATCCAAGATGGCAGCTATTAAACCCAAAAACACATCCACACTAACAGTCACTAAGTGCAGACACTTTTTCTTGGAGCAAACAAGCCAAGGACTTTTTATGCTCAAAAGATGTTAACCTGTTGTTGTTCAGCATATCCACGTCACACAAAAAAGAAAGAAAGAAAAGAAGAAAAAAACACTTAATTTCCTTGTCATTTAATGAAGTATCATTTACCAGAGTTTTTTCTCCTTAACTTGATTTCAACAGTGTCCTTAAAATGATAGAATTCTCCACATCACTTGAAGAAGAGGAAATTAAGGTATGACCACAACATGCTGTAACATATATAGAGGTTATTTACTGGCCAGGAGGTTTGGATAGAGAAAAGATGTGCCCTAGATCTTGAATATACAAGACCACTCACTTTTCTAATTTATTTTAATAGTACTGGACTGGAAAAAATAAACTGTAGTAACATGGGAAACAAAGTCTTGCCAACTCGTTGTAATAATTACAAATATTATTCTGTTGTTTTTTATTCCAGGAAGCAACACCCAAATCACTGGAAATACAGTTTATGGACAAAAATAAGCGTAAGTAATTGGCCTATGTAATGTTGATCTCTCTTGCGTAGAGAGAGTGCAAGACAGTAAGAGAGAAGTATGCATCTTTTGTTTCTTTTTAGTTGGCTTTTGTATGTGTTGCATTAATATTTAAAATAATCTCTATTGCTAGGATTACAATCTGAAAACACAAATTTGAAGGTGGAAAACTCTGAACTATCAGGTATGGAATCTTATTATTTGAACCACAGCTCTAGTACATGGTGCAACAACTGTTGCTTGTATTGTTGTTAGCCACCGAGGCAATGTCACAAGAGTGTCTCAGAAACATTTCCTGCAAAATTAGCCAAAACTAGCAGTTTACCAAAAACCTAGCATTTGAAACCTAGCATTTCATTGGCTGAGAATGTCATGCATCTCAACTCTGCCTATGCAATCCTGCTGTGTGTAACTGTTGCAGAAGTTGGTATGTGCAATTTCCTGGTTGCATGCAACATTACTTAAGACAGTTACACCATCTGTCATTGGCTGAGAATGTCATGCATCTCAACTCTGTCTAATGCAATCCTGCTGTGTGTAACTGTTGCAGAAGTTGGCACATGCAATTTCCTGTTTGCATGCAACATTACTTAAGACAGTTACACCATCTGTCCATACCTTAATCTTCAATATAGTAGTTACTAGAGTTACTTGTTTTTTTGCTGGCACAAAACCGTACAATTTTCCATCCATCGAAACCTACCTTGTCAGGATGGCAAATTTTACAATTTTGCACCACCATGTGATTGGGAAACACTGTAATAAAATATAATTAAGAATGCTAAGTGATAAAACCTTTGATTCACCAACAAGATTTATTCTTTTCTTTTTTTTTTTTTTTTTATTGATACAAAAAAAATGTATTTGTTTTTATTTGTAATGGCACAAATTTATACCACTGACCAGCAAGATACCAAGATCTCAACAGACAGTACAAAGAAACTGCACATACAGTATCTGAACAGAAAGAGCTGATTACACAACTGGAATGTGATCTACTTAGTGTTAATGCACTACCTACAGCATACCGTGGTCAGGGGGAGGTATGTAGTCTGTTGAGTTCCCTTCATACATTATAAATCCAGAATAAGTGGGTCGCATTTCCATCCATTCCATTTCCCTTTTTTGCATTGCCATTCCTATCATATCCTTTTTTTTATTTATTCATTTAATCATCCATCACAAGTTGCCCATCAAGTCCCCATCATAAATCAGTCGCATTTCCCTCCCTTCCGTTTCCCTTCATTTCCTATCCTTTCCCTTTTATTTTATTTATTCATTTAATCATTTTTACTCCTTATCATGTTTGTTAAGGGACAAGCAAGTCCACCATCAGAGACAGAGTTAGTGGCCACAGCTGTTCAACACACCATGTCACCAACTTCAGGTCAGTTCTGTGTCAGTGAGTCTGTTTACCCCAGAGGCTGCTTCTAAAGCACAAAAGAGGTAAAGCGGACGAGTGTGACTCTGGCTTCTTTTGTGCTTAGAAGCCCAACATACTGAAAGAAATACAATTTTACGTCCCTTCTAACAAAATTTACATTGCATGGTGTGCGCTTCTCAGTGGACCTAATCCACTAGTCCATAACTTTATGGACTGTATGCTGACGTGATTGGCCTAATCCACTTGGGCATAATGTTTTCCCAATTCAATCACGTGTCATTCCCTTGAAGATAAGATTCTTCGTTTGAGTTGTATTCATATTTATGTATCTTCTATTATGCGCAACTGTTAAACAAAGAAATGATACTCTAGGGAATGACAGGTGGTCATAAATGGGAAAACATTATGCCCAAGTAGATTAGGCCAATCACATTAGCGTACAGTCCATAAAGTTATGGCTCCACGCTTAAGCATGCTAATTAACCAATAGAAGCGCGCGTTATATAGTTTAGCTATGTGGCATATTTAAGAATGTAGCAACTAGCATTATCAAGGAGTAGCCGGTCAAATGCTAGTGGTGTTTGTATTGCTACAGATGAAAGCACTGACAAATCAGCCGTTGATTCACTGCTGCCTATCGTCGCCAGCCAGAGAAAAAGATTTAAGCTACGTAACATGGAGCTAGAAGCTGTAAGTATATACATAAACAGAAGGGTGTTATTTTGCCCTTCTTTGAAGCCAAGACCCAGACACGTTGTGGCGCCTTCCTTGGCATCTTCGGTAACCCAGGGGTGAAATTCTGTCGCTCATTTCTAGCGAGAAACGAAACGAGTGACAGAATTTCACTTGAAAGTTGGCGAGGATGCTTCTTCGGGTACCCCGCACAGTTTACTCAATTCAATAGAAGCAGCAAAAGACCCCAAGTTATACAATAGAACGAAGATAACAAAGAATACAAAAGGCGTGCGGTAATTGCATCTACTTCTCATGCAACGTTGCCGGCAACGTACTACGTTATCAAATCTACATAGGACAACATAGAGAAAGAGGAAAATAAATAGGAAAGCAAGTAAACGATAACAGTTTTTTTGCTCTTTTTTCTTGTTCGCTTGAATTATTTAGCACGCTATTTTGGTCTAAGAATGCAATAATTCAATAATAGATGTTTATTTTTTTCTTCTGATTAGTTATGTCATTACAATTGGGTTACCTGTGGTTTCAACTTCACCTGTATTGTAATGCTAACTGATTCAAATCTATTTAACAGCAAACTCGTCATCAGCAACAGCAGATAAGTGTCCTTCAAAATGAAGTAGACTCCTTACGGTCTGATAATGTCAAACTGTATGAAAAGATCAAGTTCCTGGAGAGCTATCCTACAAAGGTGTGAAGGGGAAACACTTGTTGGAAGCATAATTCATAATTGGAAAGGGAAGGGGGCTGTATTGATTTTAAGGAAGAGCAAGTAGAAACTACTTTTGTTATGAAAGGAAAATACTTAATGTAATGACTTGTGACTTCTCTTCAACAAGCATAAGGAAGCATGATTCATAATTGGGGAGGGGCGGGGGCTGTATGTATTTTAAGGGGAAGAAAGCAAAAACTACTTTTAATATGAAAGGGAGACTTAGTGTAATGGCTTAGTGACTTCTCTTCAACAAGCATAAGGAAGCAAAATTCATAATTGTGGAGGGAGGGCTATATGGATTTCAAACAGTTTTTTTTTTCAATTAAATGTTCAATCATGAAATAGAATGAGTATTGAATAAGTTTTTGGTCTTGCGTTTGTATTTGCGCAAATACATAAACACGTTAGAAATGCAAATCGCAAGTTCAAAATAAGTGAGCAAGATTTTATTCCTTGCGCTTGTGTTTGCGCTGGTCGTTTGAAACAGCCATAACCATTAAATCACAAGTATGCTACACAGAAGTACACGACGTTTTATCATGACCCATATAAAGGTATAATAATATACTGATCATTGATGTCGTTTGTCCGTCCCTCAGGGCTCATCGGCCAAGGACGACGAGGCAGCATTCAGCAGATATTCATCACAGTATGAACAAAGACTGGATCCATTTGCAGCCTTCAGTCAAAGAGTAAGCAAATACTATCAATCTTTCAACCAAACCTTGAACTGAGGAGAAAACCCCTCGAATCAAGGGAGAAACGTAACAAATTCTACTTACATGTGATGCTGAGTCCAGGTATCGAACCGGATGCTATATGCATATGTAGAAGCGTCTTTTGTGTAAAACCGTTTTATTCTAATTATCATTTCTTTATTCTTTGTAGGAAAAACAGCAACGATATATGGGCCTTAGCCCTCACGAGAAAGTCACGCTAAATATGGTATGGTTGATTGTAAGATGTCCTAATTCTACACAAATAATAACTTATTAAAAAGTGCTAAATATTTTCACCACTAAAAACGCCGAAAATGCAAATATGCGCGAATACGACTTTCCTTTCCTCGCACGGGAAACTTTACCTAATATTTTACTTCCTTGCGTCAATATGGGCTTAAAGTTATATTTTACACTTCCAATTCCTAATGTGGGGTCATTTTGACAATAAGATAGCAAGTGAAGTTGTTCTAGGTCTTTTGATCGACCCCTCCCCTTCAGCGACACCAATCCTCTTTCCCCGCACGCTTCCTTGTATCCCGTTCATCGCCTCAGTTAGTTATCCTGTCAGTCGTCCTAGCTGTAGCTTAACTAAGTCGAGACAATGAGCGGAGATTTACAAGTAAAAGTGGTTTACTTTTCAATATGTTTCTTGCCCTGATACTCTAGTAACATCTGTTAGTTTTCTCTCTTCGTGATATAGGGACGCTTCTTACTTGGTAACAAGATGGCACGTACTATATCCTTCTTTTATTTACTTCTGCTACACCTTTTGGTATTCTTGGTAAGTTCATATTGCTTGCGATTCGTGGATGCTGAAAACATTTTTACTTACACAAGACAAACGAGTGGTTTCATGTCGGCCTTGTTGTAGGTTAAGAACGATGCAATGAAAATGTCTGAGAAAATTCTTGTTATTCTTTTCGTTTTTTTATAAGGTTCTTTATAAAATGGCTCACACGGAATCATGCAAAAGAGACACTGCATCAGAATGTGCTAAAAGGTTGGTTTTATTCTCCTTCTCCTTTAACCTCCTCCTCCTCCTCCTCCTCCTGCTGCTGCTCGTGTCTACAGCATTGTTTTTCACTTGGTATAATCTTGCAGTTACCATTATACCACACTCATCCGAGCCCTCCTTGCTCCCACCTCAGTGATGGGTTCCAAACAATCAACATCCTGACCGGGCATGTATATCATAAATACTTAGTTTTCTTTGCATCATGGGTTTGGTTGCTTTCGTTGTAGGGGTTTCAGATAAAACAACCGTCAGGGTTACCTTTGGGGTCTTGCCTTGTATGATATAAAATATATACTCAAACCAAATATAGACGTCTTAATGCGCATGCATGTCTATGCTTTATTCTCATTGTTCTTTCTTTTCCAAAGGTTTGCAGAACATATGTTGAAAGCGCACAATCAACATTAATGTGACGCCGGTTCTACCAATCGTTATGTATAAAGCATCCCAAGATAAACTTTTATGTCTAGAGGTTTTAAAAATATTTGTTAGCATTAATTCCCTCAAAGTGGTACCGAACACATCAATTCTGGGGTCTTGGCTCATGGACTATGACTAAACACTGAGGTCGATAATACGGAACAGACAGTTGGGCATTCTCTACGACTGTACAACCTAGAAGAGTATAGTACGGGGAATTATTTGGTGTACATTAGGTAGGATCGCACAAAACAATTATTTTCAAGAGAATAGACATGGTGGCCATTTTGATAAATCGTTTGTTGCATATCACCAAAATGGCCGAAACTTGCAACTCATAGTTTGCAATCATTGCCAAAAGAGTGAAGAAACAAAGACATGGCGGCCATGTTGGTGGTACTAAGAAATAAGGCTAATAAGAAAGCTTTTGTTAAATACAACCAACATGGCGTCGGTGCACTCTTTTAAAGCACCTCTTTTTTTGAAAACTGTACCATACAGCCTTGATAAATGATGCTCTGTGTCTGATAAGTGAACCGATGTATGACAAATAGTCAATCAAAACTAAAATTGTCTGGTGAGAAGCAAGTAAGCCACGCGGGTACTGTTACATATGCTATGTAAATGATGGCTGGGAAAATAGACTTTGAAATAATCTTTATATTAATTTAATACTATATCAATGGCAATAAATGATGTCCAGAAAATTCCTTAGAGTATCATTTCTTTGTTTCACGGTTGCGCATGAGAAGACACATGAATATGGATACTTCTCAAACGAATCGTATTCTCTAGGGAATGACACGCCCAAAGTAAAGAGATCTGTAAATTCGTTTGAAGTTGATTACGAACCAGAAAACAGTTTCCTTTCTGACTTGAATTTAATTTATGCACATTTTACAGTATATATATATTTTTTCTTTTTCTGCTATCCATAAGTTTACTTTATTCAATAGTTCCCGGCGCCATCTTGAAAGGTAGCCATACTTTTGCATTGCAGGTGAGACGAACGGGGAGCTTGCACTGATAGGGACCTTTTTCAACACCTTGGACAATTATTCACATTTCTCTATCATTGCAAGCTCACCTTTCGTCTTGCTTCAATGCAAAGGCACGGCTACCCTTCAGGATGGCGCAGGGAAATGTAAAAGGACCTATTAGTATTTATAATTACCAGTATTAGACTGTTGTTTAACCTGCAGCTGATAGCCCAGAAAAGTTGCGAACACTTTCCTTACTTGTGCAATTCGAACTGGTTATGAGAATAGCTAAAGCCATCCTGGCTGTACTCAAATCTGTTTATGCGATCATCCCTTCCTCTGTGTAAAAAAGGGAATTAGAAATTTCAAAAAAAAAAAGATGTACAGACATTTAGTACATATGGCGTCTTGAATAATTTTTTTAAAGTTAGGATGTTGTTAATGGCGAAAGCAATAGTGATATTTGGGTACCAAACTTCATTCTCATATTCTTCATGAAATGTTCATGAAGGAAAGGGCAAAAACATACGTCCATAGGCTCCTTTTGAGTTAAAAGAAAACAGGGTGCATTGTGGTCTAGCTTGGGTAAACACTTTTTGTTCACTAAGTTGACTTGTCCCTCAACCTCGCTTGTATACTTCCCGCTGGATTTTTTGTTTGTACCAAAGCTAGACCAAAATGCATCTTGATTTTTTGAACTCAAATATGAGCTACGAGTAAAATCACAGGTAGCCAAAGCTCTAAAATTGTTCTAACTTCCGTTTAACATTGTTTTTACTAACCTTCGCATAAATCACAGGTTTTGGCGCAGCTATCCATCATGTACGGTTTCCAAATGCTGTTTTTACAGTAACCTTTAATTAGCCATTGAACGCACTTGGCTTCTCCAGCTCTGTCGTAACAACCTGAAACTGTAATTCCAGAATTCGTTGCTAATATATGTTGGCTGTAGAGAGAATCAAGGATGGCGTAGTACTCGGTTTGATTCCTGGACTCGATACCACATTTTGTAGAGTTTGTTAGCTGTATTCTTTCATTAGAAGGTTTTCTCGGGGCTGTCTGGTTTTTTCCTCCCTCCACAAAATCTAGCCCGTTAAATTCCAACCGAAAGGTAGTAAATCCCGCCGTAAGTGATTCTACGTAGAATTCAAATAGAAAAAAAAAATCAAATTCAAATTAATTGGCAATATTTTGCACTCCAGGGTATACAGGTAAAAAACGTCAACAGGTTTTACAACCCACTTGATAAGGCAACCGATTGATTGAATCAGAATTTTGAAGTTGGTTTGATGCTTACCAGGGCAGACTCCACAAGACTTTGGACAGTTCTTCTCTAAAAACGTCCTGGTGTAGTATGCACCACTATTCGAACACGATCCAGGAACAGCAAACTCTTTGCATGCATGAGGATATGTGTCCACACAGGCTGGTACGTAAAAATCAACCAATGGTAAGAGCGCGTTTTATAATTACAGAAAACTGTACGAACGAGGAATAATAAAGACTGGGTCGAGTTGGTATTGCAGTGCATTGTGGGAGTGTTTAGGGGGCGAAATGGACGCCATCTTGGAATTATTTCCCCTGAAACAGCCACAATATGCCACCCAAATGCCATCCAGGTGTTCATCTCAACCTCCGAATGGCTAATAGGGATGCATACTTCATTTTTGTGTTTCACCAGGCAATCGATCACTGGTCAACACATGAATAACAAAGGATTCTGTCAAATAAAGTATCGTTGTACGGAATTGTGCCTGCACATCTTTTTAGCATATTTTTTTCAGTACTGACATCTACATGAGATCCGCAATATATTACAATGCAACAAAACCTCAACCAACCTTTTCTGAAATCAGCTATATATTTACACCAAATTGCAAAATCATTGTCGGGTTCAAAAACATAGAACATATATGCTAAGACGGAAATGATACATGGGAAGTACGTTAATTACATGTATCTAGTGATACAACTCGTAGAATCATGGCCGTAACCAGGGGTCTTGCATGGTGGGAGCAAATGAAATGAAATGGAACAAAAAAAGATCCAAAAGAGGCGTTGCACCATCACGTGATGGTAGCCATGACAGGAGGCACAACAATAGAGTCGTTCTCCCCTGTGAAACTGATTTCTTTCTCATATAAATCACATTAGACCAGATTCAATTGTTCCTGCCTCCTGTCATGGCTGCCATCGCGTGATGGTGCAAAGCATCTATAATGATTGAGCGAACCTTCAGCTCACACCCCTTTGGTTACGACCGGCTGATAATGATCATAAACTGTTGCACTGTAAGAGTCTTTTATGTCAAATCAATACATCAGAAGATCAAATTATGTTATTCATATTCCCAGAATATCTTTTAGACTCGGCTTCTATATTATGTTTTGAGCCCGACAATAATTTTGCAGTTGCGTGTGTTTGACAAAACTCCATAATTCTTGTCGAAAGTTAGTTTAACTTACGTCTACATCCCTTTTGATCAGGTCCAACGGCAAAATCCCCATCCCAACAGCAACCGTATCGAGAATTGAGGCATTCGCTTTTTGAAGGAGCAAAGTGTTCTGTTAATAGAAGTATTTTCCAGTTATGTTTAATAAACGAATAGCGTTGTTTCAGGTTAAAGAATACGAGGCTACAGTTCCTTATTCATCCCAGTTTAGACAGGTACATCATTGAACAGCTTATATATTTTTCCTCTTGATGAACCTCCATCAATCAGCCTGTTCATCAGCTAAATCGCAATTTTTCGATACGATTCTTTTTGTCTGACGGCACAGATGGTCGAGGGATGATTGGCTAAGGTTAAAAAAGAGATAATTTTTCCCTCATTACACACACATGGGAAATTCTTAGCACGCCCATGTTAATAAATATAAACTTACTGCAAGAGCCGCAACTGTAAGGGCATCTTTCTTTCATCAAGGCTCAAGCCTCGGCGACCCTTTTTCCTCTTTATACACACACTTGGGAAATTCTTAACACGCGCATGCTAATAGATATAAACTTACTGCAGAAGCCGCAACTGTAAGGGCATCTTTCTTTCATCAAGGCTAGAGTCTCCGGGGACGAACATGTGCCATTCTTTTTTGACTCGGGACATCCATCAACAAACACATCGTAGCAAAGCTTAACTAAGGGATAACATTTGAATGTAAAAAGAAATGTCTTTGCGAAGATAAGTGAGAGAGAATAATAAAAGAGAACTTGTCAACGCTAATCACCACTGCAAGTGCAGCACTGACGAAGCCCAAGGGGATCGAACTAAAAGCATGTGAAGGCATCTCTGGCAGCCGCTATACTGTCCATGTATGACGCCGGAGCACAGCTCTAACCGGTTTGAATTAGTTAGGGTTGATTTGAGGGGAGGGAGAAAAGACCGGAGGGAAAACTCTCGGAGTCAGAAAGAGAACCAACCAACTCAGCTCACATGGGTTGACTGGGATACAAACCCCGGACCTCAGAGGTGCGAGACGAGCGTTTTAACCACCACGACATCCTGACTCCCCTAAAATACTATATGGACCGTTAAAATTCGCCTTGATCCAGCGTTTTCCCATTCCAGACAAGGTGTATGCTAGGGTATCGTATTTTTGTTTAACGGTTGCGCATGTCAAAAAACTAAGATATGGATAAAACTCAAACAACGAACCCTATTTTCAAAAGAATGCCATGTGTGAATTGGGTAAACATTGCATAAAGACTTAAAACATCTGCAACTTACCTGCGCATCCCTGTTCCCTTGGTCCATCAGCGTTAGTCTTGCCATCGCGGCAGCATCCGTATATCCATTGATGGCAGTCTAATAAAGGGACAATAATATAACATGATGCCACTGAACTGTGTATGTGTTGTGAGGGGACATGATTCATAACGAGGGCCTTTCGACTGAGGATTACTTCTGCGGGAAAGGGATCAGCATGCACGCTTTTTACCATGACTGACCCTCAAAATCACGACCTATATGGGTAATGAGAATTGGCGCATTCACAGCACACATGCACCAACCATGGTTACAGTCTCTCAGTTCCAAAAGCTATATTTTCTTACGCATAGGGATAGAGTAAGGTATAGAATAGATCTATTTACCACAGAATCCGCAGTACTTTGCGCAGTATTTCTCCATGAATGGTCTGTAATTTTCATTTAAACAGTAGACTCTCTTGGGATAAACATGACAAGAACGAAAGAGATCCTTACATTCACTGACTTCCTGTCCTGGAGAAGAGAAGAGATTAAAGACATAAGGAAGGAATATGAATGGCCACTTTGACGCTTCGGAGGACGTGGCCGCATGTCTGTACTATTAGAGACCTTTAGATCCGACGACGAGAAAGATAACGAGTACAAGTACGAGTTTTTAACTTTTAATTTGAAATTAGATTGAATAGATTGAAACTTTAGATTCAGTGTTAACCACGTGCACAATGACAATTTTGAAACTCGCACTCGATCTCGCACTCGTCGTCGGATATAAAGGTCGCTATCTTTTTGTGGTGTGGCAAGAGAAAATTGCGAGCCAATCAACCTATCAGAAACGAGTATTCTTGCGCGCCCAAGCCAAGGTTTATAAAAACGTTTTTTCCCCCAATAATACCAATATGACCTTGTCGAGACCGAATATTGGCGGTCAATCTAATGTTTATGATAATGAAATGATAATAATAATTTATGATTTTTATCTGCGCCCTTTCTGTAATATCACGGGCGCTTACAATCACAGTTTGAGGTGTAGGCATGCTGAGGGTGGACACGTAATAATATTGATTATAGAAATGTTAATGATCGGTAAAAAAAGTTTGAACTTCTTATATATTGGAAGGCTCGATAAGACTTTAGTGACGCTGTATGCAAATGGCTTATGAGGGCTGATTAGAAACTTCGCCACGTATGGAAGGGTTTCTTATATAATATAACCTCAATCTGCATGAGACAAAAACAACGTCCATAGACGGACGGAAAATAAAGATTTTTTCCACAAGAGTAAACACCAAGTGCCCCAGGCAAATCTGTTTGTAAACACACATTAGCAAGCGTGCTTTATAGCAAGCATAATTTCTAACGGTTAATGCTACTTGAAAAAAGCCTTTCAAGCAGAAACAAAACAAAAGAAAACTTAACGGTATTCGAGAAAACACTGATAAAAAACTAATCACGATATAGGAACTGAAAAGAATAGATTATTTACCGTAGATTAAAATGTATAAATATGATGGTTTTTCTGAGTAATATTGGAGCGAAGGAAAAAAAGGAAGAAAAGAAAAAGTAAAGAGATGTAATATATGACTCCTTTCGATCCCTGATGCACATGCCTATGCAGACTTGTACAATGTTTCCACTCAATTATAGCTTCATCTTCAGTGGGCATTTTCTAGTTCTTGCTAGATAAAATATAATTATAGGCAGTTCTGAAGTGAGAACGTAGCTATATACTTCTAGTTTTGGGAGACTTGAAGCGGTTTGTACAAGTTACTGGTGAGCTATGAATATCTCTTAGGTAAGTGCCTTAATTTTAGCATTTAACAAAACTATTTTCACTCCTGGATAAAGTCACCACGGATTTTTGAGCAGTGACTTTGTCTTTAAATCTGAATTATCCCTATTTTTTTATTAGATGAACGTGAGATGATAGATATGAAAATAATAATAATAATAATGATAATAATAATTTGTTCAGTAAACATATGCTGAAAGTTTTGCATTAAAAGTATTTAAACAAACTCTTCATATACAACTGAATCACGGTTGTGAGCTCAATGAAAATTTTATCAGTAAAGAATCATATATGGCTAATTAATTTGATGATACTTTGTACAGTTAATCAAGAATAAAATCCACTAAACTAGTCAAGAGTATATCGATACTAACCTTCGCTCAAAACTAACACAATTGCAACCCATGTTACAAGCAAAAATCGAAAATACATGATAGGTCCTTGGGCTGTAGAATGACTGTATCTGAGGAAGTACGCTAGAGTAAAAAGGCGAACTAGAGTATAAACTGTCTTGCACGTCTATCTTGTCGGCATACGCTGCTACGATTCCGCTTAGATGCTTTTCAGGAATGGCTTGCTGTCTAAATAATAGCGCCAAAAATCACTTGACATGCAATTGGTTAATGGTGATGTAACGACGCCGTTGGACGCGGGTTGACATTTGAAGTGGAGGCGAAAAATAACGGAAAAGCCATTCAACAGCAAATGTCTTAACATTTTTTAAGGGCTTTTTTGTTTAAAAGGCTGAGTTCTTTTCTGGTTTTGAACCATTCGAAAGCTAACGCCTTCACATTTTTCTCAGGGCAGTTGATCCTCTTAAAATATCTATTTATTCTAATCATTCATTTTACTATTCTTATTTTATTGTCAGAAGGAAACTCTGTATTCTCTAGCTATTTCCATATTCTTAGGAGAACTGAAAGGCCTGCGTGACTAAATGATACTTTATGGGGTTTCTGTGAATTTGGCGGCAAATTTCGCGCCATGAGGCCCGCACCGGGCCAATGGAGAAAATATTAGCACATATATTATCGAGATTCACATTTAAAATAACATATTCCACTCCGTAGTAAACAAGACTGCTAGTAGATTACAGTCAAGAAGCCGTGACGCTTACAATATCGTATTGCGTGACGATGAACGGCTAATAACTTTGAGCCCCACCACCTCGTGATTTTACACCAATTTTTGAGCTTGGCAATGTTCTTGATTTATAGATATTTAAAGATAGACTAAATTTTCATAACGAACATGCAACGAAAATGTTTTATTGTACACTTTCAAGAATTATATATTACAATATATAAATATTTACATTTTTGGGATGAATTTTCAAAAAATAGATAAGAATTATAATCATTTCAGAAAAGCACAAATTTTTAAGAAAATAGCAGTAAACTAATCAAAATGTTGAATATTCCATTTTTGAATCATTTAGAATCAATGATTATAGCATCAACCAGCATCATCTAATCTGAGCTTTTGTACCTCCAGCACATATTTCATAAATGATGACAGACAGTCACAGCATCTACTCCAATGCTCATGTGTCGAAATAAAAGGATGGGTGAGCAGCTCGTCAGCAGATAATCGATCTGCAGGATTATATTTCAATGTTCCGTTGTACAAGAAGTTTATCAAGTCTTCTGAAGCCCTGGATGCAGCCTCATTATTCATTATGGTGTAGCCAGACTTAGCCATGCTCACAAAGCATTGCATGCAGTCAGCAACCCGTAATGGTGGATATCCTTGGAACAACTCCATGGCAACAATACCCAGGCCCCAAATGTCGATCTATGGCAAGAAAATGAAAGGTGAAAAGGTGAATTGATGAGTATTTTAGAAAATAAGAATTCCATGGTCAGCAACAACTACGATACTGTTCACATCAAAGCATTGTGTGGATATGATATCAAACAATAAGATGACGTACAGTAATAATGCATATAACACTGAGTACGACGCTGATGAATGCATGTCCACATTACTTGCACGTGGATACATCACTTTTTTCCGAATTCCTATTAAACGGCCCGGGTTTAAGTCGAGGTTGGACTCCATGTGTTCATACATTTACTTTCTATTTATTAAGTCTAACCTCGACTCGAAGCCATTGTTTCGTTGCCACTCAATCGTAAAATCATCGTTTATGTGAAGTCATCAAATAGAGAAAATCAGACATAAGTCCGTCACTAAATCCAAGTAGTTCATAGTTTGATAGTATAACATTAACTAAGATAAAAATAACTAACTCCTTACTTCTTTGCCGTATGGAAGCTCATTTGCCATTTCTGGCGACGCGTACATTTGGGTGCCTCGGAATCCTGGTTGTATCGGTTGCGKCGTTCTCACCACTAGCCCAAAGTCGGCGATTTTAATCTGCAAACACATTAATAACGTTAGTGCCATCCTTTTGCTGCAGTAGTAAATGGCAACGATTGATTCTTGCCGTATATAAGCAGTTTTATGATGTGTTAGTATTTGACGCAATGAAAGAAAAAAGTCATTTTTACCTGGCCTGTGTTACTAATCAAGATGTTTTCTGTCTTTATGTCACAATGGATAAATCCTGACTGATGCAAGTGTGCAAGTCCTTGCAGGCATTCTCTCATAATGTGTGATACGAAGTATTCTGATAAACCGTTTGGAAAGTTGGACATCATCGAGTAAAGGCTCATCCCAGCCACGTATTCTGTGACGATGTACAAGAATCCATCGGTGAGGTAGCTGTTCGTAAGAGCGAGGATATTTTTGTGCTTGAAGGTAAGCAGGGCCTCGAGCTCCATCAGCAGGCTTCTCTCGTCTGAATGTTCAAGCGAGATGGTCTTGATGGCATATTCTTCGCCCTGATCACGAAAAAGAAAACCAACATGTTAGGGATAATCATGATGTACCACTTTTTTGCCGGAGCAGAGTTATGACAGGCCGTATAAACTTGTGTTTCTCACACTTTCTATCATGAGGTCAGTACCTGTATTTGTTTGTGTCTTGCGAGGTAAACCTGTCCAAAAGCTCCTCGACCAATCTCTCTGATGAAGATATAATGTCTGTCTGGATGGTACAGTCTATCACGATGGAAGTATTTCAGAACGCTCATCTGGTTCCCTTGCGGGTTCGTATGTTGCACACTCTTTTGTGAACTTAGTACAATATCAGCAATGGAAACTTGCCTTTGTTCACTAATAAGAACAACATAAGTGAAAATAAGAATACTAGGGAAAAAAGTTTGAGTATATTTTACACTAACATGTAGGAGCCTTTGAATGTGAGAAGGAATTTCTCGCAAACGATTCTCCTATGGATTATGCCAGTCCATTTTTTTGTAAATAAAGAAATCTACCCTTGTACAACTGTGGTTGAGACTGGCCTATAGGTTATAGTTTAACGATGATACTTTAAGGATTACTAAAAATTGACTTATAGAATTAAGATCGCTCGAAATAACATTTGGAATATATTTTTGTTATAATACAGTAATACAAAAGACCAAATCATTAGCATGCCTTTATTCACCTTAATTTTCTTTCTTGTATAAATGGTAGAGATCTTTTTGCTGGAGCAATTGCTTCCACTGATAAAGATCTTCGGATTTTGTTCGGCTCGGTTTTTGAGTACACAGAACGCAGTACACGTGGAGTGACATCCTGCTTGATTTCTTTTGAATTTGTTGTTGTTTTTGGTTTTTCATTTGAAGGACCCTGGTTTGTAGGTTTGCCTGAGCACAGTTTGTCCTCGCAAGGTTCCCGTGCCTTAGTTTGAGGCCTTTCCTCAGCCTGAGGATTATTGGGCTTCACCTTTCTTAAACAGAAGGTCTCTGTAACCATGAAATATAAGCATAGTCAGTTTTTCTGCACAAGTTTATAACAAAATCGAATYATAGTAGTAATAATGTTGATTGAATTCTTACTCTTTCGCCTCCAATAACCTCGAATGTTATTGTTAAATTTGAATAACTCCTTTTGAAGTTGATCCATAGTAATCTGAAATGAGAAAACTCACTATTTTAGTAGTTATTTTCACAACTAGTGCATCTATCGGCTACATTTTTTCGTTAATCATGTAATTTGATTACTTTAAACTTTGCGATTTTTGCGAAAGATAATATGGAGCAATTTAATTATTATTTAAATTTTTGTTTTGATTTCAAAAATATGTAGTGAGATTCAATATATAAAAATGGCAATGTGACACAAAGGTAAAATTACTTATTGCGCGCAAACCAAATCGATAACATTTTTGGTGGTGAGCTACGCCCTTCAAATCTAAGTGAATCAGACACTTACCGGTTCTGTTTCTTGAACTTTTGGTTTACTGTACGCGCACCCCATCTTTTAGGACTAAAATTCGTAACTCAACTTTTGTTAATAAGACTATTTCCTACGTTTTTATCGCAGCGCAGAACAACAGTGTTTCTCGAATGAAGAAAACTATACGAATGAGAAATCGCGGAAGATTTGTGAAGTCATAGTGAAAAACTACGTATTTGCGCGCGCGGATCTTGACTGGTTCCCAGGTCCTTTTGTAATGAAGGCGTTCATTGATTTGTGGCCATTCGCACCCTACTACCCGGTCAAGAGGATAATGGTAGAAGAGAAGGTATAACGCCTTCCTGCTTTAATGTCGTCTGGTTTTATTTCTTTAAGCTTACAACGTCTATTTACCTTATTTGAATCGATCCAGCGAAGAAGCAATGGGTTTCTTTCGTTGACTTTTTCTGAAGAAGATTTGTCGATGCATCTTTTCTTGAAGTACAGTTAACATCCATATTTTATACTGATATTTCGCTGTCACCTGAATATATTAAACATATTTGTAAACCGTAGACAAGAGTTTTACGAAGTTCAAATTCTAGTTCATAGCTTCACTTTTTATACATATGGCCAGCTTGCTTCAAATTAAAATCAGTCGGAATACAGTAAGAACTTGCGTTTTTTCTGTACTCAGTGTCGAAAAGTCAGAAAAATTGTTCTCATTCGATGTAAATCAGTTCTAAGAAGCTCCTCGTTCACTTGATTCATGGGAATGTGTTTTAAAATTATCATTTGTTTAGCCAAAAGACACGAAAATAGGCAAAAAGCATTATTATTTTTATCTTCAGTGTTGGTAAACTTTGAATTGAGTATTAGAACAGGTTGAATTCGTTCAGTTTTCTAACAAGGATAACGGCTAGCTTTTTCTCTGCACTTGAATTTTTATGCCGTCTTTGCTTTGAATTTCTGGTTTGCGAAAGAAAAAAATGATTTTTGATACTTCAAACTATTTCTAAATTAAATTCCCTTTCAATAAAAAACTGAAAAGCTGAGCAACTCAAACTTACATGACTTGCAGCACGCACAGGAAGACCTTCCAACGCAGTTCTCGCGTCCATCAATTTTACTTTTCGTTTTTCCACCTCTTTCATATCTCATTGTCTTGTCATATAACATGTTTAAATGTTTCTTAAGTCTCGTTAGTTCGGTCGATACCATATTAAAACATAAAGCTTCTTTCCCACTTTTTTTTAGATGTGTTTGTGATAATTTGACGAAGAAATGTCATGTTTGGTTTACCTGTGGTTGTACCACAATGCCTTGCGTATCTTCATTTAGGCGGTTAAAAATGGCAGCTTTGTTGTATCTCCATGTGTCATGAACTAAACGGCGATTTTAGGGGGGGGGGGGGGGGGTTTGTAAGGTATATTCTTCTTCTTATTTTTTAATGAAGGTTTTTCTTCGTTACTTATTGCAATAGAAGTTTGCCTACGGTGTTTTTTAAATGTTATTTCTCTTTCACTCTTTTAGAAAATCTCGCCGCAGTTTAAGGCGCTAAAGGAGAAAAGACCGTTTTAGTTCCTTCAGGTAAGCTTCAAACCTAAAAATCCAATTTTTCAAAGTTTATAGCGAACGTCGAACCACATTATGGTCAACATGGTAGCGAGTTCATAATAAACTAATGATTAAAAAGCAAAGCTTTGAGAGGTTTTACAGTTCACGTTTTATATATGCGCGACCAGTATGAATTTCGGGAAGTGAGAAGTGGTTTTCAAGACTTCATGTTAAAAATTCAAATCTCCAATCAACTACTCCGATATTCCATAAAAATTAAGTAAAAAATTTTTGAACCCGCTATCATGAATGATTGTGAAATGCTAAAAGTAATTTGAATTGCTGGAGTGTTGAGCGTAGTTGGCGCCTTTTTAAATAGTCACGAGGCAAACTCTGAAAAACTGATTTTTTTAAAAAAGTTCTGAGTAGAATCAGGAAATATGGCTTAAAATATTGGTATCATTGTCCTGATAAAGAAAAAAGCTGTTTCCATCTCAAAATTTTTGGTTTTAGTGGTTTAATGATTTCTGTTGGCCCTCGCTCCTGCAACATGAAAACGAGGCTTAAAACCAGTCAAAACAGCATACAAACACTTAGCTTCATACATGTGGAAATGCTTTTATGTTTCCACGTGAACATGAGGCTAGTCAGTCGCTTGTCAGTGCAGAACAATAGTTATTCAAATTGGTCGCCATATTTCGATTCAGTGTATAATAGTTCCATCAGACAAGTTTTAACACAATGTAGCTTTACATTCGCTGTAAAAACGATATTTGCCATGTGATAGCCATGCCACAGGCATCCCGCATGTATGAAATGTGGCTGATTTTGTCACTAAAAAAAGGAGGAAAATTCATGTTTGAATATTTGATTTATCAGCTTTAATGTTTAAAGGTGTTTTAATTTCACAGGCTATGGATATGTGGATTGTTGAACTAATTATAGTGAAGTTCAGTGTTTGTATGCTGATGCTTAAAATTCCTACTATATCAATTTATGGGTTTTATAATGAAATGTGGTAGCAACTGGAAGCTGTAATCAAAAACCTTTATTTACAGTTAAATGTACTTTCATATATCAAAATGTACTTATAACTCAAAGGTTCCTAGATATAAATTTATCTATACTATATCAATCTAAGTCCTTGGATGACTGTGATCTTTGAACTATTAGTGAAAAATGCAGGTATGTGTGCCTCTATGAACATCCAAAAATTGCGTATGTCAACTATTCCCATCAAAATATTTCAAAATCTATCCAATAAACATCGCATTTATCAAAAATCTGAAATAAAATTGATTCTTAATTTTGATAATAATAAATGGAGATTAATGCATGGTCGTGCGGAGATATGGAAGTTATATATCTTGGAGTGTTCAATTTGATATCTCACGAGTGAGTGCTTCCATACCTCCAAGCGGCCATGCATTTTTCTGTTTATTATGTAAGCCATAGCACATCTGTATTTATTTCAAAACAATGGAA